GAACAAGAACAAGAACAAGAACAAGAACAAGAACAAGAACAAGAACAGAACAGAATAGAATAGAATAACAGTGTTGGAAGGGACCCTGGAGGTCTTCTAGTCCAACCCCCTGCTTAGGCAGGAAACCCTACACCACTTCAGACAAATGGTTATCCAACATCTTCTTAAAAACCTCCAGTGTTGGAGCATTTACAACTTCTGGAGGCAACTTGTTCCACTGATTGATTGTTCTCACTGTCAGGAAATTTCTCCTTAAATTGCTTCTCTCCTTGAGGAGTTTCTACCCATTGCTTCTTGTCCTGCCCTCATGGTGCTTTGGAGAATAGCTTGACTGACTCTTCTCTGTGGCAGCCCCTGAGATATTGGAAGACTGCTATCATGTCTCCCCTAATCCTTCTTTTCATTAAACTAGAGATACCTACAGTAGTTCCTGTAATCGTTCTTCATACGTTTTAGCCTCCATGCCTTTAATCATCTTTCTTGCTCTTCTCTGCACTCTTTCTAGAGTCTCCACATTGTTTTTACATCATGGCAACCAAAACTGGATGCAGGATTCCAAGTGTGGCCTTACCAAGGCTTTATAAAGTGGTATTAACCCTTCACGTGATCTCGATTCTATCTCTCTGTTGAGGCAGCCTAGAACTGTGTTGGCTTTTTTGGCAAAGAGTTTCATTTGTGTTTGAGCCAAATGATTTGGCCCGGATAGTTGAGTTGAATGATAGCTTTGTTTATTTTACTTATTTTTAAATCTCTCCTTCTTTTCGTCAGGTTTAGAAGAGATGTGCCCAATAGATGCAGCACGCATTTCGATGCCGTGGCTCAAATCCGCGGAGAGGTTTTCTTTTTCAGAGGTGAGCGGATGTCAGAAATACAGGGAATGTGCTCGACTTACAACCGTTCTAGGTGAAATGATCAATGCTAGAAGGGAATGGTGCTTCTGGAATGGAGAGGAGGAGGAATAATAGGATTATTGTGGGGTCCTTGGTGCTTTCTGAGCTTGGTGGTTTCCTTGCAGACATTCCATTACCAAACTAGGTGACATGATCAGTGCTAGAAGGGAATGGTGCTTCTGAAATGGAGAGGAGGAGGAGGAGGAGGAGGAGGAAGAGGAGGAGGAGGAGGAGGAGGATTATTGTGGAGTCCTTGGTCCTCCCTGATCTTAGTGGTTTCCTTGCAGACATTTCATAACCAAAGTAGGTTACATCATCAATACTCAAGTAAACCTCGCTCCCTTCTAGCACTGATGATGGTGGTTTTCTTACAGACATTTCATTACCCAACTAGGTAACATCATCAGTGCTAGAAGGGAGTGGGGTATTGGGAGGAGGAGGAGGATTATTGTGGGGTCCTTGGTGCTCTCTGAGCGTGGTGATTTCCTTACAGAAACGACAGTCCAGGGATAATCCAATAAGAAAGTCTTCTTACCAGTCGTCGTAGTCCTTCACAATAAACAGTTCTTCTGGATTTGCAAACAGTAGCATACAGCTGTTTGAATATGGTACTGTGTATTCACACTAACTCTTAATATCTTGGGCCCATAACCAATGTTAAGAAATTCGCAGAGTAACCCTTGAATAGCAAGGGTGTGTACATGAAAGCATTTGAGAGAAGATACGAATAAGCACAGTCAACACACAGATACACTGAGTTGTGTTTACTTTCAGGAAATAGTAAGGCACAGTCCAATAAACAGTCCAGGTCATACACATATAAAGCAGGAGATAGTTAAACAACAGTCCAGGGATAATCCAATAACAAAGTCTTCTTACCAGTCGTCGTAGTCATTCACAATAAACAGTTCTCCTGGATTTGCAAACAGTAGCATACAGAGATATCAGAGAGCAAGAACAGCAAAGAGAAACAAACCATGTTTCTAGCTCCCGCTTAAGGAGATTGGCTATAGAGCTAACCAATCAGGACACATTATGATGCAATACAGCAGTCTTAAAGCAATATTGATGGTTTATATATTGCCAACCCAACAAGGTAGGTAATACTCATTTCCTAACACATTTCATTACCAAACTAGGTGACATCATCAGTTTGGAAAGGAATAGTGTTTCTGGAGTGGAGAGGAGGAGGAAGAGGAGGATTGTAGAATCCTTGATGCTCCCTGAGCTTAGTGGTTTCCTTGAAGACGTTTCATGACCAAAGTATGTTACATCATCAATACTCAAGTAAACCTCGCTCCCTTCTAGCACTGATGATGTTACTTAGTTGGGTCACGAAACGTCTGCAAGAAAACCACCAAACTCAGAGAGTATCTGAGACACACACACCCCTCCAGAAATGAGGAATGTCAACCTCTGCCAAGTTCAGTATTCCCGTGTTTCAGCCTTGAAATCTTTCTTTCCGCAAATTCCTCCCCTGGTTAATCTCAACCAGGTTTTGCCTTTTTTAAGGGCATCAAGCAGGAAATTTCTCATTCCAGTTTGTTTATTTTATTTATTTATTGGTTCGATTTATATGCCGCCCTTCTCTGGAGACTCAGGGCGGCTTACAATGCGTTAAGCAATAGTCTTCATACTTTTGTATATACCTGCTTAGTAGGGCTTTCGGGGCCCCCAAACGGTGTTCTTTTTTATACAAAGTCAGCTTATTGCCCCCACAATCCGGGTCCTCATTTTACCTAACTCGAAAGGATGGAAGGCTGAGTCAACCTTGAGCCTGGTGAGATTTGAACTTGCAGTAATTGCAGGCAGCTGGTGCTACTTAACAGCACTTTAGTCTGCTGTGCCACCAAGGCGCACCAAGGCAGTTTAGAGCTGCCATGAACGAAACCTGCAAGTGTTGGTATGCGAAGCCCGTGCCAGTCTCCCATCTCTGCATCACTCATGCCATCCTTCCATCCTGTCAAATTAACTTCTGGAGCGCTTTGAACTTCTGAGCTTCTAAAATATCATTTAGGAGAAGAACCCACTTAAATCAACGGCGTTTTCTCCCAAAAATATCGGAAACGAAATGGCGAGCCTTAACCCCCAACGGCGTGGTAAAAAGCCTCATTACCGATGCAAAGAAGATGCTGACTGAATCGCATCGAGTTTCTCATAAAGATGCAAAGAGGCCGCATTGGATTCCCCGGGTTTCTTCACTCTTCCCGACTTTCCTCCGATTCCCCTTTTAGCCGTTACGAAAGGATTTATAGATCCCCGCTTCCTGAGGATGGGGTGTTATTCCCGCATAGATCAATGTCAAATAAAGGAAAGAAGGAGCAAAATGATATGAATTTGTAGAATGGTAATTCTTTTTTAAAAAAATTATTTTAAACTGAGCTATTCCGCAGATGTTTCGAGGGGTTAGAAGTTCTTCAGCCTGGGCTTAATGTCCCTCAAGAGTGTAAATACAATGTCACCAGCTGCTAAAGTGTAGAAAGCCAATTGTCTCCTGAATATGTATTTGGAGGGGGGTGGGGTACCTTGACTTGCAAAACATATATGTGTGTGTGTGTGTGTGTGTGTGTGTGTGTGTGTGTGTGTGTGTGTGTCTTTGGTTATTCGGGTTTTCTCCCGGTTTTCTCCCGTAAAATTGGAGGTGTCTTGGCAACGTTTCGACGAAATCTCATTTGTCATCTTCAGGCTGGTGTTTTCGGCTTCGTGCTTCTAGGAGCAATGTGTGTGATCGCAGCTGTTTCTTCCTTTTAACTGCCAGTGGGGGTGTGAACTGATTGGGTGGGAGCGGGTGTTTTCCCACGTCATTGTAAATAAGTTGGTTAAAATGTTTAAAACTCTGGTTAAAATCTGGTTTTAAACATTTTAACCAACTTATTTACAATGATGCGGGAAAACACCCGAGATTTTAATTTTTTGCATATGCACACCCGCAAAAACTTAAGAAGACATATATATATATATATATATAAAAAACTATGGTGAGATTAGGGCTCTGCCTTTGAGATACCAGAAATTCTTCAAAGATGTCCTCCACTGAGCTACACAAATCTCTACAGCAGTGGTCCCCAACCCCCGGTCCGCGGACCGGTGCCGGGCCGTGGAGTACCTGGCACCGGGCCGCGCAGCGGCCGGGGGACAGGAACGCTGCAGCGCAAAGGCTCCTGGGCCGTGCGCAATGGGCCTGCGCAAAAGCTCCTGGGCCGTGCCCCCACCCCTGCGCGCGCTCAGCGGGCCGCGGCGATAAAAAGGTTGGGGACCACTGCTCTACAGCACCAAGGAACAGATTTAATCCTTTTTTGCTACCTTTATTTATTTTATTTTATTATTCATATTTCTATGCCGCCCGCTCTCCGAGGACTCTGGGCGGCTTACACCAAAGACAGTATACTAAATAGCACATTGCCCCCTAACAATCTGGGTCCTCATTTTACCCACCTCGGAAGGATGGAAGGCTGAGTCAACCTTGAGCCGGTGAGACTTAATCCGCTGATCTGCTGAACTAGCAGTCAGCTGAAGTAGCTGCAGTACTGCACCCTAACCACTGCGCCACCTCGGCTCTTTTCGGTTTAGTCCAGAATCAGAATCAGAATCAGAATCGAGCTGGAAGGGACCTTGGAGGTCTTCTAGTCCAACCCCTTGCTCAAGCAGGACACCCTATATCAGCTTCTTTGTGGCAGCCCCTCAAATGGAACTCTGGTGGCTCAGCAGACTAATTAACATCCACTTACATCTGCTGCCTGCAATTACTGCAAGTTCAAATCTCACCAGGCTGAAGGTTGACTCAGCCTTCCATCCTTTCTAAGGTAGGTAAAATGAGGACCCAGATTATGGGGGCAATAAAATGACTTTGTATAAATATACAAAAGTATGAAGGCTTTTGCTTAACGCATTGTAAGCCGCCCTGAGTCTCCAGAGAAGGGCGGCATATAAATCAAATTAAAAAAAATATATTGGAATGCTGCTATCATGTCTCCCCTAGTCCTTGTTTTCTCTAGACTAGCCAAACCCAATTTCTGCAATTGTTCTTCATATGTTTTAGTCTCCAGGCCTTTAATCATCTTAGTTGCTCTTCTCTGCACTTTTAAGTCTCGACATTTTTTTTGTAATATGGTGACCAAAACTGGATGCAGCATTCCAGGTGGGTGGCCTTACCAAGACTTTATAAAAGCACTTAGGCAACCTTAAGATGGATGTACTTCAACTCCCAGAATTCCCCAGGGTCTGGCTTCTCTAGATAAGACTCTATGGTTGCTGGAGCTCCGTGGGTTAGTTTAACCAAAGCTTTAAGCCAATGTTTCTCTCTCTTTTTTTTAAACAAACAAACATACAAACAAACAGCACATTCAGTGTATTGTAAATCAGTGTTTCATCTGAGTACGTATTTTGTGTCTTCTGCTCCCTTCTCCATCATTTTCATATTTTATTTCTATCGTGCCTTTATATTTTCATTTAGATTGTTACATCATTCTTCCCAAATTTCTTATGTTTATATTAATTCATCAATTATCTAAAATTTATATATATATATATATATCTTCTCTAACCATTGATATAATTGCCCCCATACTTTAAAATACTCCGATTCTTCCTTTTCTTTAATTACCAATGCTAATCTATTCATTTCTGCACATTCCAATGTTTTCTTAATTACTTCTCCCTCTAAAGGGATTTTCTCTGCTTTCCAATTTTGTGCAAATACAATTCTCGCTGCAGTTACAATATGTATAATCAAATAAGTATTCTCTTTACTATATTTCTCTGGCAAGATACCCAATAGGAACAGTTCAGGTTTTAGATCAATACGTTGTTGTATCATTTCCTCTAGCCATGTTCTAATTTTAATCCAGTAATTCCTCGCTTCTGGACACGTCCACCACATATGATAATACAATCCTGGTATCTGATGGCATTTCCAGCATTTAGCTCAACCTTGGTAACTTTAAGATGGGTGGACTTCAATCCCCAGAATTCCCCAACCCTCCACAGCCATTGTAATTGGTTGGGGAATTCTGGGAGTTAGAAGTCCACCCATCTTAAAAGTTTCCCAGGTTGGGCAACCCTGGTCTAATGACTAAATGACTAGTGCTAAATCCTCACTTCCGGTTGCCTTGTGAGTACGTTGTTGTTACTGATTAGAGTTTCTCCATCCAGGCAAGTATTTTTGGAGACTGACTCGCAACAAGCATCTGGTGTCCCTTCAGCCAGCTCAGATCCATCGTTTCTGGAAAGGATTGCCTCTCAACTTGGATAGTGTGGATGCGGTATACGAGAGGACCCACGACCATAAGATAGTCTTCTTCAAAGGTAGAAGGGAACATCTCCCATGCTTTTCAGGGGTGGGATTCAAACATTTTAGCCACCGGTTCTCTGCCCGGTTGTTGGGTGGGCGTGGCCATGGTGGGTGTGGCCTACTCAGCCTCCTGCACCATGGTGGGGGGGCGTTTTTGCCCTCCCTAGGCTCTGGAGGTTTTCCTCGAGCCTCCAGGAGGGGAAAAGTGGCCTCCCCCGGGCTCCGGAGGCCCTCTCAAGGCCAGAAACGGGCCCGTTCCCAAACTTCCATAAGTTCCAGGGAGCCTGTTTTTCACCCTCCCCAGGCTCTGGAGGCTTTCCTCAAGCCTCCAGGAGGGCGAAAATGGCCTCCCCCAGGCTCCGGAGGCTGGAAACGGGCCTGTTTATGGACTTACCGGAACTACTGGGAGGCCCATTTTTTGCCCTCCCAGAGCCTCCACGCAGGCCCTGCACTTACCTGGCATCCAAAACGGGCCACATGGAGGCTCCTAGGAGGGGAGGGGAGGGGATGAGTGGGCGGGGCCAGCCACTCCTTGCAACTACCGGTTCGGCAAACCAGATGTAAAATTAACATCCAGTTCCCCTGAACCGATCCGAACCGGCTGAATCCCACTTTTCATTTGCTGCTCTCCTTTCTCCAAACGTTTGGTTTCCCCACTGTGATGAAAAGTTTGTTTCATTCCTTACTGGAGATTCATGTTGAAGGTTGTTTTCATTTTCTTAATGCCACGTGAGCTGATGCCATCATTGACTTAAGGGCCATTCTGGGCCAGGTTGGCCCTGTGGGAAGCTACTGCCCTCCTAGAAGAATGAAATATTTTGAGAAATATTTTTTTAAAAAGGCAGGATAAAATATTTCCCCTAAAAGAGAAATAAAAATCATAAGGGAGACAGAGACTCTGAGCCTCAGCTCCCTGCCGCCCCTCCCCCCCCACCAAGCAGATACTGAGCTGGGGCAGCATTAGAAATGCAGATTTGGTAATCCATTACTGCCTGCAGCAAGATCTGGCTCTAAACAAAAGTAGGGTTAGCCTTCAGCTGCCATAGGAATTGCCCAATAACACCCTTTCATTGCATCAGCCAAACTTCAACCAAGCTTGGCTCAGGCAAACTACAAAGTTAGCTATGACCCCCTACAACAGCCAACAGAATACATGTTCTTGCACAGGAACAGGAAACTCAAGTGCAAAGCCCAAGAGAAGATATAAATATCATATTTTTTGGAGTATAAGATGATCCAGAGTATAAGATGCTCCATAGTTTTTGGAGAGGAAAATAAGAAAAAAAAATTCTGCCTACCAGTATCCATCTGTATTCATCTGGCTAGCCTCCTGTCACTGTGTGAGAGAGTTAAGGGCTGTTTGGAAACTGAAACAATATTTGCTGTGTGAGCAACAAGGAGACAGCAAGGAGCCTGGGCGTGGCTTAGCTCAATTGTTCTGTACTAAAGCTGCATGCTGTGCTGAGCTCTGAAACTAAAACTGAAACTGAAACTCCTCTCCTCTGCTTGTGTTTTGCTTGTATTTACTACCACGTTGGAAAACCTGCTTTTGGTATTGTATATTTACTTCATGTGTTATATTGTATATAAAGAGAAGTTATTGAATCCTGCTGAATCAGTTACTTGTGTGTGCTTTCTGGATGTGATGGCTGCTGCAAACTCTGTTCGCAAATAGCGAACAGCCAGGTCAGCTTCAGCACATTATTGCAGCCTAATTCAGCACAATCAGCTGATTGGCGGGGGAATCAGCCTCCCGGAATACCCCCAATCAGCTGTTCCAGGCTGCGGGGATTGCACAGACCATTGCCGCCTCCATGCCTTGCGTTTTTGGCTTCGTGGGACGCACCCAAATTTTCACCCTCTTTTACCGGGGGGGGGAGGTGTCTTATACTCCAAAAAATACAAAGCCCTCTCTCTCAACTCCATGTGGTCAGCCGCACTAGGACCATGTGCTTGATGGTTCTGCTTCATTAAATCATTTTTCCAATCAGTCTCCCTGTTTCCAGTGTCTTTCACCCTGCTTGGAACTGAACCCAGATGGATATTTCTTCCAACAGCCCAAAGGAGGGAGAAGTAATTGCTTACTTACCTCTTTCTTCTCCCCAGGAGACCGATACTGGGTGTTCAAAGACAACAACGTTGAAGAAGGCTACCCTCGGCCCATCTCGGATTTCGGCTTGCCCCCAGGAGGCATCGATGCAGCCTTTTCCTGGGCTCAGAACGACAGGACCTATTTCTTCAAAGACAATCTCTACTGGTGCTACGATGACCACCAGCAGAGAATGGAGGCAGGTTATCCTTTAGAAAGCACGCTGTGGAAAGGCATTCCCAGCCAGCTGGACGATGCCACGCACTGGTCAGATGGTGAGTTTGGACCTTCAGAGAGCTTCTTTTGAGACAACTTTTGCTGGACGTAAGGGGAATGTTGTGGCGAATTGTCCCGCAGTGAGTTTTCCATGATGAATTGGCTGCATTGAGTTGGCTGTGGCAAGTTGTCCCATCACGTGTTGGCCATGATGAATTGGCCACGTGTCAGGGTTCCGACCGATGCCCTAATTCCGTGATTGCAAACCTATGGCACGCGAACCTATGGCTCCGCGTGCCATAGGTGGCACGTGGAGCCATATCGGTGGGCACGCGAGCTCAGCTCCAGCGCACATGCATGCGCCAGCCAGCTGTTTTCTGGGTCTTCTGGGCCCACCAGAAGTCAGGAAACAGGCCATTTCCGGCCTCTGGAGGGCCTCCAGGGTGGGTAGGGAAGGCTGTTTTCGCCCTCCCCAGACTCCTAGAAAGGCTATGGAGCCTGGGGAGAGCGAAAAATGGGCCCAGTGGGCCCACAGTGCCATCGCATGCCAAAAGCAGAGAGAGCACGGGGGTGGGTGGGTGCACACACATGCGTGACCCCATAGAATTATGGGTGTGGGCTCATACACATGCGACACCCCCCCGCGCGACCCCCACTTTTGGCACGCGAAGGCAAAAAAGTTAGCCATCACTGCCCTAATTAAATCATGAGCCTCAAGCCAAGCTTCAAAGGAAATCCAATTATTTATTAGGAGCTTCATGTTGGAACGGACCAAGTGAAGCCAACTCTGACCTCACTTAATTCTCATCCTGGCTCTGACCCTGTTTCCCCCTCCCCCCCAAAGGTGTGTCATCAGTCACATTCTCCAATGAAGCAATTTCGTGGGTCGTAGGGGTCCCTCCCTCCGGCCACTGTAGGTCTGCGTGGATATGACCTTGACATGGCCGGCTGGAATGTGCTTTGTTTTGACTGAAGTGCAAGTTCCTCAATGCAGCTGCAATGTTCGATTCCCCATCCCCCTGCCTATGGCAACTTGAGAGCAGGTGAGGAATGCTTTACGAGTTGACATCACATTGGCCACATTGAGTTGACTGTGGTGAATTGTCTCACAGCGAGTTGGCCATGATAAATTGGCCGTGTTGAGTTGTCCGTGTTGAGTTAACTGTGGCAAACTGTCCCATGGTGAGTTGGCCGTGATGAATTGGCTGCGTTGAGTTGGCTGTAGCGAATTGTCCTGCAGCAAGTTAGCCGTGATGAATTGGCCATGTTGGCTGTGTTGAGTTGTCCATGTTGAGTTGTCCATGTTGAGTTGTCCATGTTGAATTGACTGTGGCGAACTGTCCCACAGCGAGTTGACTGTGATGAATTGGCCATGTTGAGTTGTCCATGTTGAGTTGGCCATGTTGAGTTGGCCATGTTGAATTGACTGTGGCGAACTGTCCCACAGCAAGTTGGCCGGGATGAATTGGCTGTGTTGAGTTGGCCGCGTTGAGTTGGCCATGGTGAGTTGTCCCATTCCATGTCTGGCCCTAAACTTTTCTTTCTGTCTCTCTTCTTCCAGGGGCCACCTACTTTTTCAAGGGCAAGGAATATTGGAAAGTTACGGACAGCAATCTGGAGGCCGAATCAGGCTATCCCCGCTCGATTGCAAAAGACTGGCTGGTGTGCAGCAACATGCAGGCCGATGCGCCAGAACCAGCCGAGCGCTCCAGGACCGGGGGCCGCTCCAAGCAGGGATACCACGACGAAAGCCGATCAGAAAGCGAAGTCTGCTCCTGCACCTCGTCTTCCTCCGACCTCCCACCCTGCACCTCCCTCAGACTCTGCGGCGGCCTGGTCTTGGTCACTCTTTGGACAGCGGTGTTGGTGCACGGACCTCTATGACCGACGGGGTCGCTTTGGACTGCAGCAATTCAGGGGTTGCCAACGGACGCTGGGGGTGGAACCAGACCCTGGTCTCCCCCGACGCAGCTGTGTTGAGAAAGCGACATCTAAACATTCCTAGCAATGTGATGTGGAATTAATTTCAAATTCTCCATGAGAAGCAAAAGAGCATTTTTAATTATCATGATGATTATTATTGGTGTTCTGATTTCCTTCGGTTGGCTGAGGTGGGTTTACGGTTCCCTTTTTATTTTATTTTGTTTTTAAGTTAACTTGCTTTTCACGCCAGATTTTGCAGGTTTCTCACTTCCTCTGGTCTCCTCTTTTCCCCAGCATACAAACCTATGAATAAAGTTTTTGACCTGCCACGTAGTCATCATATTCCCACGGGGTTATTTATTCTCTTTTGCTCGGGGTATTTAAAATACACTGCCCATCTTCTTGCAAAAACAAAAGGGGGGGAAATCGACCTTTAATTTCAGTGTTGGTCAAAGTGGAACCTCTGAGAATTTAGTCCTCAGGGAATTTGGGAAAGTTGCAGGGCGTGATTGCAGTTGGTCTTCGAATTATGACCGCAAATGTGTGCAAAAGGTCCGTTGTTAAGCAAGGCCCTTGCTAAGTCAGTTTTGGCCCCATTTTACAATATGTATCTGCCATTGTTGTTAAGTCAACCGTGCAGCCACTAGGTGAATCTGCAAAGGTGAGCTTGGCTTGTCGGGAGCTGCCTGTGAAGGTCACAAAAGGCGATCACATGACCCCGGGACACTGCAGTTGTCATAAGTACATGCCAGTTGCCAAGCACCTGAATTTTGATAATAGAATAGAATAGAATAGAATAGAATAGAATAGAATAGAATAGAAGAATAGAATAGAATAGAATAATGGAATGGAATGGAATGGAATGGAATAGAATAAATAGAGAATATGAGAGAATAGAGTAAGTAGAAGAGAGTAGAAGAGAGAAGAGAGGGGAGGAGAGGAGAGAAGAGGAGAGAGGAATGGAATAGAATAGAGGAGAGGAGAGGAGAGAGGAGGAGAGAAGAGAAGAGAAGAGAAGAGAAGAGAGAATGGAATGGAATGGAATGGAATGGAATGGAATAGGAATAGAATAGAATAGAATAGAGAATAGAATAGAATAGAATAGAATAGAATAGAATAGAATAGAATAATAACTTTATTGTCACTTGAATGCACACTAATTGGCATACATTAAAGTGAAATTTCGTTGCATATAGCTCTCAAAGGGTCTCCACCTCCAATATACACTACATAATATAACAGAATAAATAAATAAATACAGATAAATAGAGAATTATGCATATACCCACATATTTTACATCATGTAATCATGGGGAATCTGCAACGGTCGTACAGTGTGAAAAATGATCCTAAATCACGGTTTTTCAGAGCTGTTCTAACTTCGACCACTCTAAATGAATGGTTGTAAGTCGAGGACTAGTAGTCCTTGATTTACAATAGTTTGCTTAGTGACCCTTCAAAGTTACAACGGCGCTGAACAAAGCGACTTAGGAACATTTTTCACACTTTACGACTGTTGTAGCATCCCCAGGAACATGTGATCAAACTTCAGGCGCTTGGCAACTAATTCACATTTATGACGGTTCCGGCGTCCCGGGTTCTTATGATCCTCTTTTGCGACAAGCAAAGTCAATGGGGAAGCCAGATTCCCTTAACAACTGCGGAAAGAAAAGTCGTAAAATGGGGCAAAAAAAAAAACCCCACTTAACAAACGTCTCACTTAGCAACATAAATATTGATCTCAACTGTGGACGTAAGTCGAGGATTTACCTGCATAGCCTAATTATGATTTTAAAAGAGGAAAAAAAAAAACCTCATGCATTGCCAGATGAGGGCAGCAGAGATTATAAAATTTGGCAGAACGAAGCCCGAGCTATAGAAAACGGAAATGGTTTTTGTAACAAGATGTCAGTCCAACTTACTCACTGCAATGCTGGGGTTACATGGCTCTAGGAGGAAAAAAAATTGGATTTTGCATCAAAAGTCTTAAAACGCCATTGAGGAGCGTCATTTGTCATCAGAAAATTAAACTCCCAACTTCAACCAGCTCCAGGAGATTATAAAAAACGCTCGAGCGGGATCTCACAAAAAGTTGATTTTCGTGTTATTGTATTGTAGGGATGTAGAATAGCATAGAAAAAACAGAGTTGGAAGGGACCTTGGAGGTCTTCTAGTCCAACCCCCTGCCCAGGCAGGAAACCCTACACCACTTCAGACAAATGGTTATCCAACATCATCTTAAAAACTTCCAGTGTTGGAACATTCACAACTTCTGGAGGCAAGTTGTTCCACTGGTTAATTGTTCTCACTGTCAGGAACTTTCTCCTTAATTCCAGGTTGCTTCTCTCCTTGGTTAGTTTCCATCCGTTGCTTCTTGTCCTGCCTTCTGGTGCTTTGGAGAATTAGTTGAAATCTCCCCCTCCCTTCTTTGGGCAGCCCCACAAATACTGGAAGACTGCTCTCCTGTCTCCCCTAGTCCTTCTTTTCATTAAATTAGACATACCCAGTTCCTGCAACCTACAGTAGTCCGTGTAATCCTACAATGTTTTTATTATTTGCATAAAAACATGCTGTGAGGATTCCCAACAAGGAGAAAGCAAAAAACGGAGAATGGGAGGTCCAACTGCAGAGACAGGAAACTTTCTGGAAATGGCGGCTTTTGAAAAGAAACTTATCTTGGTTGAAGTCTGTAAAGATTCTCAGTCCTCCAGGTCCTGGTTGTCCCAAAGGTGCTTTTTCTCAAGAGGCAACTGGACTTCCTTGGTTTTTCTTTTGAAGATGTTTTGCTTCTCATCCGAGAAGCTTCTTCAGCTCTGACAGGATAGTGGGGAATGGAAGGATTTATACTCCTTGCAGACAGCTGGTCCTTTGCATCCTTTTAGAGGGTCGTTGAAGCACTTGGAGGTTTATCTGTGTCCTCAGGGTCACCTGAGTGCTGCTCCTGATTCCTGTAGTCTGCCATTTTTCTCTCTGGAAATCCACTCCTACTCCCACACCATCCCAAATTGTATAGCTCAGGGGTCAGCAACCCGCAGCTCTGGAGCCGCATGTGGCTCTTTCATCCCTCTGCTGCAGCTCCCTGTTGCTGGTCAGCTCCAGAATTGATAGGGCTTCCGGTTAGGACAGGTAGAGGAAAAAGGACGCCATGCTAGGAGTAGACTCTATGGTGGGGGACCGGACTTCCGTTTGGCTCCATAATTGAACGGGGGCTTCCGGTTAGGACCTTTGTGTCTCTTTGAGGGTTTAAGGTTGCCGACCCCTGGTATAACTAAATGTCTGTAGAGATCAGTCATCCTGGATGATCAGGTCATGGACAACCATGGAACAAAGTACCTTTGGGATAACCATGACCTGAATGACTGAGAATATAAATCCTTCCATTCCTCACTATCCGGTCAGAGCTGAAGAAGCATTCTTGGATGAGAAGCAAAACATCTTCAAAAGAAAAAAATAATACAAGAAAGTCCAGTTGCCTCCTGAAAAAGCACCTAGGGGACATCTTGGTTGAAGGTTTGGATTTCGACACACAACGGAGAACAAAGTCGATGGACATCTCTCCACCCTCCAGAGTCTTAAGTGGAGAAATAGGTTGCTTGGCATGTCACATTACAAAGCTGTGTTTTGCTAATCCTAGGTGTGGAAGAAGCCCTGATGGATTGGAGTCCTACCTCACCATCCGTGAACCATTTTGATAAGACTCCAGACCAGCTTCATGCAACCTTTAATGTCAGAATCAAACAAGGTCCATTTTTATTTTTATTTTTTTTTTAGCGTATGGCACCTGTTAGCCAGGGATCACCGAAGCGGCTGTCTGCAAGGGTGGGCTTCAAAAATTTTAGCAAGGGGTTCTCTGCCTGGTTGCTTGGTGGGCGTGGCCATGGTGGGAGTGGCCTAGTTGGCCTCCTGCAGCACGGCAGGGGGAGGGGTCATTTTGCCCTCCCCGGGCTCTGGAGGCTTTCCTTGAGCCTCTGGGAGGGTGAAAATAGCCTCCCCAGGCTCCAGAGGCCCTCTGGAGGCCAGAAACGGCCCCGTTTCCAGCTTTCCCAAACTTCTGGTAGGCCTGTTTTTCGCCCTCCCCAAGCCTCCACGCACGCCCTGCGTTACCTGCGTTCAAAATGGGCCATTTGGGCCATTTGTGGCTCTTTCACCCCTCTGCTGCGGCTCCCTGCCACTCAAAATATGCATCACAGCTGCCAATGTGCGACACCCGCCGGCACGCGATTTATTGAGCTTTTCAACCCCCGGTAGGCCAACCATGGATAAATCCAAGAAAAGAAAAGTTTCAGAAGGAAACAGGAGGTTTAATTTGACTACATATGCTAGTTTTGTGGCCGCTCAAGAAATCGTCAGGCACGGGAAGGGTTTTGTGGCTCCCGGTGTTTTCTTTTCTGTGGGAAATGGGTCCAAATGGGTCTTTGAGTGTTTAAGGTTGCAGACCCCTGGCATAGACTCTCCTGCTCATGCAGAGAGTTGGATTAGATGACCTCTGAGGTCCCTTCCAATGCTGTTAATCTATGTGCTAATTTAGTGCAACCTGCAAGGTTAGGTTAATGCCACCTTCTCAGGAGAGAAATGGTAATGTTGGCACCTTGCCTTGGATTCTTGACTCAAAATGGTTGGATTCTCCCAAATTTGACCCTTCCTAGCTTGGTGGGAGGTGGAATCTCTCCCCTCCCTACAGTTCTAGGGAGGTGGAATCTCTCCCCTCCCTACAGTACTTTCTTTCTTTCTTTACCTGCGTCTTTGATACACGATGAATGCAGACATTAGTTCCACCTGCTGATAAGGATCTTGGCAGTCAGCTGTAGGACAATAAAAACATACTGGAAATTAATGGCTGGCACAGAGACGGTTCAGACACCTAGTTTGTTGATATGGACCATTGCCAGCTCAACAGCTTTGCTGATAGCCAACCAAGTCAGTCTGGAGAGTAAAACGAGCAATAAAATGTGTTACAATGGCATTACTTAGGAAATCCGGGGAGGGAATTGCAACGATCTCTGGTAGGTATTTGATGTTGGGTTGGTGCTCAGGACGTTGTCCTTCAGCTTCCTTCCTTGGTTCCTATCTGTGAAAGTCCTACCTGAGAGTACGACAAGAAGCAACGGGTGGAAACTAATCAAGGAGAGGAGCAACTTAGAACTAAGGAGGAATTTCCTGACAGGGAGAACAACTAAGGGTGTGTGTGTGTGTGTGTGTGTGTGTGTGTGTGTGTGTGTGTGAGGTTTAAAGTATAACCACCACCTTGCTTAGCATGAAAATTCTGCTCGCAAGTTGTGGACAACCTGTTATGAAAAACCATGATAACTTTAGAATAGAGTAGAGTAGAGTAGAGTAGAG